ATAACATTTTTTATAACGATATTTTGTGTGACGAAGAATAATTTGTCTCAATTTGGTATGCAGTAATGACAATTATTATTTTCGTCGTTGAAAAATATTCTATATGTCACATCATATATTTTTGTCCCTAAATTATACGACAACTATTTTTTTAATGGGTGATATTTTTTCATAATTTCATATTATTTATTTTCGTCACTAAAAAATGACCTTAATAATGACACTCTTAATTTTCATCACAAATGTACATATACTATGACTAATTCGTCACAATTTAACAATCAACAATGACAAATTTTATTTTTTCACTAAAATATACCATATTTTGACTTTGTTAGTTTTCGTCAAAAAATTACATCATATGATAAATTAATTTGGTATTTAATAATGAATAATGATAAGTGTTATTTTTCATTTTAATTTGTCTTATTTATGGTACTGTCAACTTTCGTCTCGAAGTTGCATATTTTATAACGATTTTGCCATAATATAATAATATAAACAATAAATGTTGTTTTTATTACTGAAATGAACCTTATTTATGATGAATAAAAATAAACTTATAAAATGTCATTTTGTATTATCAATATTGATTGTAATATATTCATTAGTTTATGCATTAAATAGATATAAATATATCTATATTTCATAGTCACCATTTTCATAAATTATATATATATACACACATATATATATATATATATTAATTATATACAATGACCAGGTATATTCGACTGATTAGATTTAAATAAGGAGAAAATTTTTATAAATTATAAGTATAAAATCTACTTTTCATATATTAAATATATAATTTTATCATATTAAGTTATTTATTTATATATATGACATACATAGTTTTAATAAATAAAAAATTAATATACGTAACATGTAGTAGTTAATAAATACAAAAATTATAAAACCATGTCATATACATTGGTATAGTTTAGTGGTGAGAGTCTCTTTGAGATCCAAGAGCTCACACGTTCAAATCCCACTACATGCAAAATTGTAAATGATGTCCATATGGTTTGTATTGAAGCTTTTGGGCAAGACATTTCAAGGTGGGATGAGTGGTTGATTGTGATAAATAAAATAATTTTTCAAAAATAAAAATAATAATTTATTATTTTTTTCCAGTTAAAATTCGTTACTATATGTTATTGTTTAAACGACGAATATTTAAATTTTTCATATAAAAATATATTTAAGTGACAAAAAATCTATTGTAAAAATGGCAAGTTCGTCACGATAAGTTAATGTTTAGATGACAAAATATCAGTTCGTCATTTAAATTCGATCTTTTGGTGACAAGTTAAGAATTTCAATGACGAATTTTTTATATTTAAAGTGATGAGATAGACGTCACTAAAACTAATTTTTTAATGATAAATCATAATAATGTCACATAGACATTTTATGATGCGGTAACAGTGACGAACGCTGCGACGGAATTTTTTCATCCCGATATACTTTTAGTGACGAAAAATAGATTTATTTTATTAATATTTTTGTCATAAAATATCAAATTTCTTGTAGTATATTGGAATGCACTCAACCATCTTCTCTATATGGTTGTCCAAGATCTTTTGAATCTTTGGACACAATTTTCCATGCCATTTTCCAGTTGCTTTGTCCCTATCTTTTGGAGTCTTACATTCAGATACTCTCTAGTCCATTCCAGCAAAGTGATGATGGGCTTGTCTCTTGCCTCAAGATTTTGACCACTCACTTAGTGCTTTATCATGAAACCATGCCCATCCCTCTTCATTGAGATTTTTCATTTCCATCATCCTACTCTTAAATTCACCAACTGTAGTAGCCTGTGCAGCAGCCCACAATGCTAACTTAAAACTTAATCCCCTGAAACCTGCATTCTTGAAGTTGCAGTTTAGGTGTCTAACACAGAACCTATGAGGACTATTTGGAAACACCTATTTGAAAGCCTGTATTAAACCCTTTTGTTTGTCACTCATGAAGGTCATTTGCTCATCAACATCAATCTCTAGGTCTGACTTATGTATGGTTACAAACCATGACCAAGTCTCTTGTTTTTTCACTGACAATAGCATAAGCTATGGGGTATAAATTGTTGTTGGGGTCAACACCCACTGCAGTCAGCAATAGGGGTGTTCACGATCTGGTTTTAACTGAGAAAAAGCGTCAATCCGGACCACAGATCGGTTAAATGGTCGGTTAAAATAGCCTTAAAAAATCTTATGGTTAATTTTTTAAAAAATCCATAATAACCAGTCCGGTTAACGAAATACATGCGGAAAACCGCCGGTTTAACCGGACCGGACCGGTAATATTAAAAAACTATAACAAATATATATATATACATTCAGTCATTCACTATGACCGACAAATACAATACATTCACTTTCACTTTTTGGCCTTTTGTTGACTTAATTTTGTAAGACACTATAACTTTTCACTTTTTCCCACCTTTGTTTTTTCATTTTCAGATTTTCCCACCTTCTCCTCCTAATTTTTGAGTATTTTTATGTTTATGGGACGAATTGTGTATTTTTTATTTTATTATTGTTGTTTTTCTTAATTTTTAGGCACGAATAATCTCTTTTGGACCCAAAATTGAAAAATAAAAATTAAGCCCAAAATGAAAAAATAAAAATTGAAGGCCCAAAACAAGGATTTTGGATTTAACCGGTTAACCGCCAAACAGACCGTCCAATGCGGTTCGGATTGTGGTCGGTTAAAAAATAAAAGCGATCTGGCTATGGATAAGAAAAAAAATTAACCGTTAGGTCCGATTTGGTCATGGCTTGGGCTAAAATCGAACCAATCCGGACCGTGAACACCACTAGTCAGCAAGATACCTAGATTATGTCCTTTTAAGTGACAACCATCTACACTAATTATAGGCCTACATCCCATTCTGAATCCCCTTTTCAAAGCATTAAAACAACAATAGAACTTACTGAATCTTTCACCATTTGAAGTGATAGTGTCAAGGATGATAGTGCTTCCAGGATTGGTCTTCCTCAGCTCATCAGTATAGTCCAACAGCTTAGAGAATTGCAAAGAAGGATCACCTTGTATTAATTTCAAAACTCTCCTCTTGCCCCTGCATGCTTGTTGCCTTGACACATCAACCCAAGTTTTTTAATCACTTCAGCCCTCCACCCTTTGGTAGTCCTCTTAGGATCAGTCTCAAAAGTTTCAAGGTACTTTTCACTCAACCATCTACTTTTTAAATTCTTCACAATCTGGTTGACAAGTGTGCTTAGAAAAGTAAGTAGAAATTGTGAAAGCTTGGTCATCTTGTTTTTTATGGGCATTTATTCTCCATTTGCAGCTCTCAACCTTACACTCAACATATACCCTTCTACTGTAATTCTTTGTAAACTTCAAGTTTCTTTTGGTGCTAATAACATGAGACTGAATTGCCTTCTTAAATTCTACCTTAGTAGCAAAACCATGGTTAATTCAAATGTTGGATTGAAAATAAGTGCAGGGTTGAAAACAGGCTCACTTGACTCACACTCTTCATCAGACACCCTATACTCATCTAGTTGAGGGCTATCAATAACCACATCATCTTCCTCATCACCATTATCTGAATGACTCACATCTTTGCCTATATCATCAGGTTCTGAATGATTTACATCTTTGTCTATATCATCATTATCTGAATGATTTACATCTTTGTCTATATCATCAACATGTTCTTCCCACAAACCATCATCATCATCACTATCATTTTCAGGACTCATGTTGTAGTCAGAATCATTTAATTCATCAGAATCAGATTTATTTTCATCAACAAGCCTCTTCCTACCTAAGTCTTTACCCATGGCTTGTTCCCTTGGTAACAAGATGGAACCCAATGTTTTCTTAATATATTGTATCATCTGGAGCAAACACATGAGCAGATTTAGGGTCTTTAGACTGACAAGGCTCACTATGCTCAATAGGGCCAACAACAGGATCAGGATCCAGCAAATTAACATATATATGCATCTCTCTAGTTCTAACAGCATCATGAACAATTTTTTTAAAGTCTCTGTCACTGCACAATAAGAAAAACCCACTACTCTCATACATGTAGAACCCCATTTCTCCAGTGACACCTACTTGTTTGCACCACATACTGACAACCAACATTCCCAATTCTTGTGGGGTGACATAATCAACTATAAAAACCTTACCTCCTTCATATTTTGGTGTTGGGAAATGTTCAAATTTTCCACCCCAATGCACAACCAATGTGAAAGAATCAGACGTAAGATCTGTACGTTTTTGGGAATCAAAAAGTTATCAAAAAAAAATGAAAACCAGAACAATACACAAATCAAAGGCATACATCGGCCACGAAAATGCCAAGCAAAGTTTCAGAAAACAAGCACTTACGATATATTGGAGGAGGCAAGTTTTGGTGTATTTTTTGACGGAGGAATACCATTTGCGTTCAATCTTGTGCTTAATTGTTCTTTTGATCAATTCAGTAGTTAGGTTGGAGCGATTTGGGAATTAGGGTTCTAATGTTGGGGAAGAACGATTTTGGGGAAGAAAATTTTTTGCCCGATTTTATGATTTTGAGCCTTTTATATGAAGCTCATCTCGGCCACGTGCGATGTATAATATCCAGCAGGGGAAAAAAAAACCCAGCGTGTAAATAAAATAAGCCACATCTGCTTTCCGGCCCAAAAAAGGGGAAGATGTCCTACTTTTGATCGTTTTCTAAAAGCTGTGGGACCGTTTATATTTTTTTAATTCCGTTGGGATCAAAAGTGTCACCCCTTGAACCTGTGGGACTAGTTTTGAATTTTTTCCATTTTATTTGATTGATTTCAAACAAAAGAGCACACATGATTTTTTTGTCATAATTTTATTAATTTATCATGACGGCCTAAAAGAATAGTTATTATTGTTGCATAAAATATTCTTGTTGATGTACAATTAGCGATCACAGCATACAGATAATTGGTGGAAATTAAATTAAATAAATAGAATGTGCTTGCATGGTCTGTTTTGACTAGCTAGTTAATGGCACTACAGACCCTCCTTATAATTCCATTAGGCTGTCCTGCGGGAATCTCACCCATCTTGATCATAGCACTTGCGAAATCTGAGGCGAAAAGTCTAGGGTTGTTACTGTACTGTGATACGATTGTGTCCGTTGATCCTCCGTTGAAAAGGACTTGGTCCGACTGAAGGAGACCTTTTCTTTGCACCAAATTCTTGAAATAGTTGTTATCGAACGAATTTGGCGTCACAAGATCAAGCGGCGCCAAATTCGAATCCCCGCCCGTTTGAGGGCACCGACGCCTTCGTGTGCTTGCAAATCCGGCATCAATGTCAGTTCCATTGCTATTAATTCTTGCCCTAAATAAAAAGCATTGTGCTTGTCCTATTGTATGTGCTCCTGCAATTAATATATTATATCCAAACATATTTTAATATTAATAATACACGTTAAACACTATATATATATAATTGATGTATATATATACTGCATTATGAATATAATTATTCGTGACAACGTACCGGAAAGGGCAACCATGTCTCTTGTGTTAAGTCCTTTGGCGTCGAAAGCGGAAATGAGGTCATTGAGAGTGGCAAAGGGACTCGGAAGATCTGTGTTCGCTTGGTCACGGTTTGCAGTGGTTGAGTCCCTTCTTCCTAGTCTCACATTCCATGATGGGCCACCAACCTGTGGTTTAAAATCACCACAAAAGAAAAAAATGAACAATTAAACGGGAACGACTACAGTCCCGTCACGGTATGATTCTGTTCTTTCAATATTGATCATTGGATCTTTTAATTTGATAGGTACCCATCGATATAGTTAAAAAATGCTGATGTGTCAATTTTTTATTGGAAGTTTATTTGGAGTAATGGTTCTGCTACGGGTCCTTAGCATTTTCCCAATTTAACAGATCATATATAGATAGACGCTACTTCATGCATGGACAACAATATAATTATGTGTTTATAATGTGTTCGGCTTATAACTTGATGAATTTAAATTTGAAATTGAACCGCATACGTAGTTAGGCACAGTAACAGTGCATGCTACGTTACATGTTTATATTTGGTACGGATTGAGATGTCGACTTACGTAAGCTGATGCATCACGAGCTGCTAGCGTTAATATATCTGCGCACGAAACAACTCCTGGACAAACTCGCTCGACCTCACGTTTGGCGGCCTCAATCACATCGTAGCCTCTTACAGAATTGACATTAGGGAAAGCAGTCTTCTCACTCTGGATAGAAGGCGTCTCGTCTAGCAAGATCGACGCATCGCAACCCTGGACAAAGCAATCGTGAAAATGGAGACGAATAAGTGAGGCCGCCATTCGCCTCTCACGAGCTATTGCTCTGCGGACTGAGTTTCGGATTATGGCAGTTGCATTAGGGCACGTGGACTCGTAGAATGTTGAGGATAACTGTGCTTCGCATGGTGTGTTTGTAGATAAGAACCACAGAGAAATAACTGAAAAGATAAAAGTGATGGAACTTGGACGTCTATTCATCATCATAATACTTAAACTTCTGTTTTAGGTGTTCACAAGGAAAAGAAAAATCGATTTAGTTAGTTTCAAGAGAGGAGCTGATATATATACTGCTTTGTACGTGAAGTTTGATTGAGAAGCTTATGAATCATAACGCGGGTTTACCAGCTACACCGCGTTTCATGGTATACCGAAGAAATGAAAGAAATTTGTAATATATATATTTACTCATTGCTTTCTATTTTAATCTTTATATTCAGCTATTTTACCATGTTTTGGTTTGGACTTGGTAATTCTGGATTTATTAATTAGTATTTGTCGTACGCTATTATATGTAAAATGTCAAAGTTCTCTAACATGGTGATTTAGTCAAAACAATGGATGTATCTAGGTAGTTTTATGTGAAGCTTTTTAGGAAAGTGACGAGGAGACAACTAATAATCTATACTACTTTAAAAGGACGAAGGACGAGTGTTTTTGTAAAAATATGAATTGCCTAAAAATCCTTTAGTTTGACATATTTTTAATGACAAATTAGTAATACGTACATTAATATTCATGCTATATAACTAATATTAAAAAAATAAACTACCTAAAAGACCCTTACTTTGACATATTTTTAATGGTAAATTGGTAATACATTATTATTCATGCTATATTATATTTTGAATTATTAACTAATTATATTTAATGAACTGACGTGAAAAACTAAATGACATAGTAAAATAATATGTACTTCAAATTATATCCAACCTATATGCCCAATAATTGAATTCTAATTATAACATGCACATATACAGGTAACCCATATTACATATATAAAATAATAATTATTTTCAATCTTTAATATGTAAGAAATGAAACTAAATTGAAAAATTAATAGTTAATCTGAGATAAAATATAAGAGATTTCTAAAATATAGTTTTTTTTTTTTTTTTTT